ACCAACCGTCGCGCAAGTTCTCGCTTGTTGGTATCAGCTGTTTTCCCTTATCACCTCACTCTCACCATTCGAAGTGAGAGAGTTAGTAGCAGAACAACCGCACCATCAGGCAACCATTAGAAATGAAGGGTGGGCGGTGCCAATGATAGGCGGGTTGGTCCAATGAGAATAAGGACTGTATCGTGAGGCTCCTCACTCGTTTTTGCCACAAAAAAGGTGTGATCGCTGCCTCTGCGAACCTGGCTACCCACTCACAAAGGGAGAGGGAAGTCTTTACTGAACGCGGGCACTGCCTTTAACTCGGACTTGGGTTAGACGGTGGAAAGGGCATGCTTGCATCATCTTCCCACTATGTGTCACAAGCCCGAACTTCGCGACTACTCACCGGTGGTATATGTTATCCTTATCCAGGGTTTACCTCCTTGTTAAGCCTTATTTGCTTCATATTGGCTTCATTAACTGGTCAGTGGATATTCCGCTAAGTTTGTTTACTGATTTCTAGTGTACACAATTGCACCAGATAGAAGAAATTATTAGATATAAGTGGTACATCATGTCGATTATTCGACGCAAATACACACAGCTGGAGTATGCAGAAATATTTGTTTCCGTTGAGCGAGAAGGGAGCTCCAGAAACCGGTATGTTCGCTATAAACATCGTCCTGGTCAGATTCAGCTGCAAACAGATTTTTCCACACTCGCACTCGAAGCAATTGACATTTGCTCCGCTTGCTCGACGTTTGGTGTTATCAGAACGATGTCGTCAGGAAAGCGCAGATGGTGCAGTTTCCGTCGATCCTCACTCCCATTTCTTCCCATTTAGTCGACGCATAACTCGAGGAAGGCGCTGAAGAGTTCAAACAATTGTACAGCTCTTTCGAGCCCCACTCTTCACGACGATAATGTTGTCCCTATAGAATGGTAAGATTGTAGTTGCGAACACGATTTAGAGCTTCCGAAGAATCCTCATACATGGTAGCGGATCACCTGGTTGCCCGAGGTTTTGATAGCGGCTTCTGTCTCACTCACGCACGCTTCTGCTTTAATCACGCTTCTGTCTCACGTCCATCGACTCAAAAGGCTTCTCAGAGTCGATGAACGTGAGACATAGCGGCATCTTGTACTCTCGCGATACTTCAATGAGCTTCGTTACCGTGTGGATGTGATCGATCGTGCTGAATCCTCTTCGAAACCCTGCTTGCTCGCATGGCTGTCCTTCGTCTAGTGTTGTGCCAATACTGTTTAGGATGACTTGTGAAGTGATGTGTGAAGAGTTTGTAAGCTACATTTAGGATGACTCGTGAAGTGATGTGTGAAGAGTTTGTAAGCTACAGACAGCAGGCAAATTGGGCGATGATCACCAACGTCGTGCAGGTCTTCCGTTGAACACAATGCAGTCTGCTGGATATCAGCGAGGTGAGTACCTTGGTGAAAAGTCGAGGCGTAGTTTTGACGGGAATAGATGGAAGACTATAAGAGATCTCTAGAGATATTAAGTTGTCCGGAAAGTTTTCAGCGTTTTGTGTTACTAATTTTTGTACATTCATTGCTGATTAAAACTCATTCTCCCTTGCGTCTCAGTAGTATTTAACACGATTGCCGTTTCACCATTGCTTGATAAACCCTTTTCCCAAGACTTTTTGAAGCATGTCAAAAGAGCAACTTCGGACGATATTTTTCTTCAACTACAAATTGAATCCGCAGTCGAGACAGCTCGACAAATTAACCAGGTGTGGGGGCCCAATAGTGCTAGAGAAAGCACCGTGCGACAATGGTTCGACAAATTCGTTCTGGAGATTTCAGCCTTGAAGATGAACCTCGTAGCGGTCAACTGCAGGATTTGAAGGCGTTTGTGGAGGCTGACCCATCCCAAACAGTTCGAGAGATTGCAGAAAAGCTAGGCGTTGGCAAATCCACTGTTGCGGATGGTCTGAAACGCATTGGGAAGGTGAAAAAACTCGACAAGTGGGTGCCCCACAATTTGAGTGACCGGCAGAAATTGGCACGTCTCGCTTTCTTCTTCACTGCTTTTGCGCGACCCATTTTTGAACGAATTGTCACCTGTGATGAAAAGTGGATCATGTATGATAACAGGAGACGTTCCGGACAGTGGTTGGATGCCGACGAACCACCGAGGCAATTTCCAAAGCCGAATCCTCACGAAAAAAAGATTATGGTCACAGTGTGGTGGTCATCGGCTGGTGTGATCCACTATAACTTTTTGTCACCAGGCCAAACCATCACAGCAGAGTCCTACTGTGAAGAAATCGACGAAATGTACCGAAAATTGCGTCAGCTGCAGCCAGCACTTGTCAACAGAAAGGGTCCGATTCTTTTGCATGACAACGCCCGCCCACACGTTTCACAAATCACTATCCATAAATTAACGAACGGGGAACGAATTGGGGGTTGAAGTTCTACCTCACCCGCCATATTCTCCAGACCTTTCACCAACCGACTATCACCTTTTCAAACATTTTCAGAACTTCCTTGCTGGAAAATACTTCATCAATCAGGACCAGGCAAAAAAGCCTTCGTGGATTCTCGACCACCCAGTTTTTTTCTTTGATGGGATTTATCGACTGCGTCACATTGGCAAAAGTGTGCTGATTCGAAAGGTGCTTCATTCGACAGAATCCGATGAGTATAGTGTAGTTCATTGCGGACGGTTGGGCGTGTTCGTGCGGCTGCGTTTGGCGCGGTGCCAAACTCGTTCTCCACGAGTTGTTCAAGCGAGCAAATGCTGTATCATACCTTTCGTATTACTTGTTTTCTACTGCTTTTTGTCGCATGCCCGTTTCAACAAGAAGGCAGAGAACAGCTCAAAGAGGGTGACACACTCATACTGGCTGACACGCCCAACCGTCCGCTACGTAGAGTGTATTAGGAAAGTTATGATCGTTTGAAGTGAAACACTCGAAACGCTGAGAACTTTCCGGACAATCTAATAGATTTTGAGAGTATTCGGATCTCATCCTATCGTTACGATTCTTCCAATTGGCCGTATTCTTCACCGAGGAGACGGCGGGTCGGCGAAGAATCGTACGGCAGCCGCTTCAGTCAGGATCACATCTTCAAAAAGAGAATTGAAGCACTGACTGTCCACACTGCTCCAAGCGGTACCATGGCAGGGGGATATGGCTGTCAAAGCGGATAGCGTAGAAGTCGTTGATGACGTTCTCCACTGCCCTTAGAGATGCAGTGGCTATTCCGTCTGGATATGTAGACCGATCTCCACGTCTTAGAATTAGCGAATTCGTGGATCTCGAGCCTCTCCGGATCTCGAGCGTCTTATCGGATCCCGTCAGCAGTGACAACGCTCTGCCGCCTTCAACAGTAATCTCGCCCCCCTCCCCCATATCACTTTTAGGAAGTGACTCTCTGCCTTACCCTGGCTCTCTAAGTGGCTCTTCAGGTAGAACTGAATTTCTCACAGACAAAACAGACGCAACAAAATATACTCGAGATCCCTGAGATCGGGTAGGCGGGGCTGCATTCTTCAACTTAACCTGAAGGTGTCTATGCTTCTGGTGGATATTTCCATCTTGACACAACTGTTGTCGTGTCTCTGTCCAACACAGAACAAGATGACAGTTGTCCCAGACTGGAATATTCCACGAGTAACCAGTTCCGTGCCATGTTCAAATGCCACGCCTACTCTGGCTCAGGGATAAGGAGTGTATATATAGTGGGGTTTATTGTACCACAGGCGATTCTCCCTGAGGCAATATATTACTACTGAGGATACATTTCTGAAGAAAAGACAATCAAACAACGAAACAAGGAAAGGTTTCGAGGGTATTCACGCGCCGAACAAATTCAAATCAAAATATAAGAAAAATGGCGAGGAAAATTACAATCCCTTCTCTGATGGCTCAATAAACTTGCTTTTCAAATTCCACTACGATGATGCTTGCGAGCCTTCGAGAAACTACTGCTCCATTCATTCACTATGTGTGAACATTTCAATGGATATCGATTTTGCGCACGTATAAGCATGAGAAGTGTAAGTGTACTATCAAAAAGGTAATGATAAGAGCAAGTTTGCAATCAAATTCGAGTTGAAGCTCAAGGTGTGGTTCACTCTAAAGCGGTTGTCTTACAAGTCAGAAGCTTTCACGCAACACCAGTTCGTTGATGGTCAAGCGGCTTTTTCATGTTCTGCTCTTAATTCGGCTGACACTGACTTGTGATTACGTGGTAGGTGTAAGCAAGTGATGCTTCCCTGATAACTCGCGATAATTGTTCTTCAGGCTCCAACAGACGATGAAGTTATGGTTGCGAACACTGAGTATCCACAGGGAGAACGAAAGAAGCGGGAAGCTGCTTGGGATTGGATACGAATCGAAACTGAGTACGATGCGTCTTTTAACCTGTGAGTGTTGTGCTAGGATTGTGTTTCTAGGCCAACGAGTTGCAGGAAAGTGAAACTGTTCTGCTCAGTCCCGGCACTTAATTCAGCACGTCATTCACATGTCATGGCAGACAGTGACGAAAAGATCGCAAAGACCATGTACCCATTCCATTGTCCTACGACATTCCATTGTAATGCTGTTCATTTTCTTGTGCCACCAAGCTGTTTTGAAACGCCCATGCTTCCAAATCTGTGGTTTTCTACATTTTCTTCTACAATGTGCAGTGGGATATTGGAAACTGTTGAACGCAGCTGTCATAAATAGTGAATCACGCGGCGAAACGTTCACGATTGTCGAACGACGCACACTTCAGTGGGTATCTCATGCTTGTCTCTTGTTGATGATTCCGTCACCGCCACTTTCACCTGCTGCCTTCGAAACCGCTAAAAATTGATGCTTGCTCAAAAAAACTAGCTACAGGGTAGCCTATGTGCGACCCTCTTGCAATCTTGGCGATTATTATCGATAAAGTATGTCTTCACGCCGAATTAAAGTGCTTCAGTAGGTCAAAGTTTTCGGCGTCTTCGCCTTCGTTAGAGCCTCAAATAGACGGAAGAATATGAGAGCTGCCCGCTCAGACGTCTCAACATTCCCCAGAAAAAATCCACTTACGTAAAGCTCCCAGCGGTATCGATCTATAAAACGTATGACTCACCTTGATCTCAGCCGCCACTGTGCGGGCTCGTACCATCCGGGGGTTTGGTCGAATGTGACGTTATTATTACCAGTTACACGTCTGACCTCACGGCAGATCAAAACACGCGGGCGTCGAGGAATGGCTCAAGCAAAGAGCAGCAGGGCTGCTTTACAGGTGGAAAGTGACGAGAAAGCAAAGTTAAACGCTCAAGAACCTGTGAAAAGCATTTGTTCTGATAGATACGGCTGTATATATGTGATTGTATACCCATGTGGCACCGCTCCATATCACCTGTACTTCATGAATAAACCAAAAGAGTACCGGAGTTGAAGTGACTCTACAGCCATCTGTGGGCGGACGGTTGTAACGGGCATCCAGGTCGGCATGTTGCAGATGTTATAATGACGCCCTTAGATGGAAAAGGCGCCACACAGCGCCTGATAAGAGGCAAAACATCCTTTCGTGCGTGACGACCCGGTACGCTCTGCCGCTTTATTGCTACCTGTTTTTGAGCACTCCAATTTGGCTACCGCATCTCGTGCGCTACGGTCGCACTTGGTAATCGAAGTAGCTTATGGGACATCACATATGGGTGCTTCCGAAGTCATTTCTTTTCTTTGATTCGACTCCAAAAGACACGTGGTGGAAATGTAAGCAACCCTTTAAATTGGCCACTGAAGCGTCTTACTCCACATGCACCTCCACATGCTGTAGTAGCAGGCCTCACATGGGGGAGTGTAGAAACAGAATCGTCCGGTGCAGCTGGTGGGCGTGGCCTGCGACACCTCTGCCGGCGAGAAGAAGAATCATGCGTCTGGCCGTTTGAATAGGGATATTGAACTGACGGTGAAGATTGATATCACCCAGGATCGAGCCTTATAATCAGTCAGGGTCAAGTTTTGAGTTTTTTCTCTCTTTTTTTCATAAAGTATGAAAAAGTCCATTAGAACATGAACTTCAGTAAGGTCTTTACATTTGCTCTGGTGTGTCATCTTTACAGCAGCTCACAGGAAAACTTGACCATTCATCTATTAAATGTTGACGCTGACGACTGCGCGAATCATGTGAACCACATAAACTGAGGGAGAACAACTGCCTCATTTGACTTCTTTTGTCTTTTTATTTCCTGAAGTTACCTCAATGGATCGCCAAGCAATTGTGCGTCACTACAGAGAAACATCGTTAGATCATCAGTTGTTGATGAAAGTTGTTGCGGATGTATACAGTGGAGTAAATCGATTGCTCCAGCAGCAGAGCTATTGGCTAGCAAATGCGGTTACGTGACATCTTGAACTTTTTTTGCATTGTAATGTCACAAAACCCTGTGACGCAGGGGAGTGTGGCAACGGAATCGTACTCACAAGTGTTGTTCGTAAAAGATGATGACAGTGTCAGTGATAAAGTTATTTACTGGTGCTCATCACAGCAGCTCTATAATCATCTACTATTCAAAAGGGAGTCAATTTAGCGGTCAGATGCGATTTCAGTAAATAAGGGTGGAGGAATGAGTTGTACATCACTCCAACCTGATGCGTGAGCTATGAGTAGATTTGCGAACGGGGGTGTAGCTGATTATGCTCTGCAAATTTTTGATGCATTCATACCTCGCGACACCAAGGATTCCTTTGAGTGAAGTGAAACGAAAGCACACA